ATAAAAATACAAACAAGCAAAAAAAAAAACTGAATTAGACCAAACTATCACATTTACCAAATTTCCATCTGGGATCAATAAAGTAATTTTGAATTGAATTTAACTGAATTGAATTGAATTGAATTGAATTGAAACTAATAATAACAAGCATCAATTTTTAGACCTCTGGGCCATTAAATATATTCTCTATATGTTTAAAGTTCATCTTTTATACACTGTTTAAAAAAGGATCAGTCTTCTGCGCCCCAAGCTTTACCACATTTACCTTCATTAAATACTTATTATCCCTTTAATGTGCCTTATCGTACCATTAGCAGCCTCTAAACCAAATCTGATAAGCCAAGCGGCCAGTAATCACTTTGAAAAGCTCCGTGTGTCWCATTAAAAATGGATGACACATCAGATGACAGAGTCAGCTTATTGGGAAAATCCTCAAAATGTGTTTAAACTAAACTCGCAAGGGCAACGGTTTAAAGGTTACTCTAACAAATCACAACATTAAAATAATTATAAATTCAACTTTTAGATAAAACAAAGTAAAAGATAGAAAAGTCCCAAATGCTCTGTTGGCAATAAAGATGGGATTTATGTTACACTGGTGGTAATTCCAAGCAAACACTCCCGTGCTGCCGTTTTTGGGGGCATGTTGGGAAAGCCAGATTAGGGCAGCGTGGTATCTGGAACCAAGCTGCACACTGTGGCGAAGCCGCCGGATTTACATGCTGGAATCTCCCTGTAATCAACTCCTTGGCAAGACTACACAGAGTTCATGAGGCCACCGGCGTGCACCGTGTGTTTGTAGAGCGCTTCCTCTGCCCTCTCTGGTTATCTTTTAGCTCTGTGGTGTGTAACTGTGTATCTGAGAGTGACCACACTGAGAATCGGGCGTTTATGCTTCCAATTTAACATCGCTCTAATCTTCTGCACATTCTCATCTGTACAGACACAGAAATCCGAGCTGCTGGACCTAAATAACCCCTTTCAATGTCTCTTGGTTTTACTTGAACGTAAAGGCTTGACTTATCTTTACTTATATTCAAGCTCAAAAAAGAGAAAAGATAGAGCTCCTCTGTGAATATCTAAAGCAAACAATCATCAGTCTGAGTTTCTCCTTATTGTAACTTCACAAGCTCCTCTTTCAACCCTTTTCTGAGATGTGACTCAGATCAACTCGTTTTGACGCTGTCTCTTCAAATCCAAACTTGGTGCTTTGCACCGTGCCCCTTCCAGAGCAGTCCATTGTAACTTGATAGAGGGTAGAGCTAGGCGGTACACTTGTTTGTACCGAAACCAGTTTTTTATTTTTGTCATGATGGCAGTAYGACGGATCAGTGTTTAGCACCGACRCCTCACAGCAAGAAGGTCCTRGGTTCAATCCCCGGTTTGGACCTGGGGTCTATCTGTGTGGAGTTTGTATGTTCTCCTCGTGCTTGCATGGGTTTTTCTCCAGGTACTCCGGTTTCCCCCACCCTTAAAAACATGTACCGGTACAATAGGTTGCCTTCAGGCCTAGGCCTCCCTTGAAAAAGAGATCTGCGTTCTCAATGGGATTTGCCTGGATAAATAACGGTAAATAAATAAATACATGATATGAATTTTCTGRATACCTGTTCAASCCATTCTCACTCCTGACTCGTCAACATATTTACACTTGGTCAGGTAGCCGTCTGCGTCCAGTTTTGACACGTCGGGTACCCCCCGCACGTCATTTCTTTATGAGATGAGGCAGAGGAGGACGAGCGTGTTGTCATWTTTTTTWAA